TATATACAGGTCTAGTCGAAACTGACGCAACGGGTCCCTGTGAAACACTTGTCGGTTCGTATAGGCAACAGCATTTATACTGAAGTAATTTGGTTATCCAATAGAGTGGTAATAATGGATTATATATTAAATAAAATAATGCCTCCTCACAACTGACCGAGATGGGAAGGGTTTATGGAAATAATTTGGGATAATTCTTGAGTCATTCCTATTAGAAAATATTGCGTTGTCATACATGATAAAGTTTGTGATTTTCATGTTCAGATTGTTTAATCTTGGCACTCAAGGTCATGCACGTTAAATTCACACTTATGCAGACAAGCAACTACGTAGGTCGAAGTAGACAAGAAAAAATTATTGTCCATACCTAAAGCATTATTACAAGTGATAAATATAATTAAAGTCATAAAGAAAATAGTTTAGTGCATCACAATCGGCCAGTACTGTACATATGAATTCAATTACTCATATGTAAAGAAAAGAGGTCATTTGAGCTGTTGGTTGTTCAGAAAATTATCCAATGGCTGTTTTAAACCTTGGTTGCGGTCCAAGGTGTATCACTCGTTTTGTGCTTGTCTCTGTGTCTGTTTGGATGTGCTTTGATGTGTTCGTTTGTTCGAATGTTACACAGGACGGAGAATCAAGCCCGGATTTGCGATGACCCTACACATCTGTGCTCCATACATGTAAATGACTTGAACAGAGATGGACATTAGCATTCATGAATCCGACTTCGGGCTTCCTGATTTATTCTTGGAAACACTCAGGTACTGCATTTCGCCTGTTCGCCGAGCCTGGCAATTAGTAATGCTAACGTTTCATCACCAGACGACAGGATATCGTCAGCGCTTGTGAAGTGGCAGTGCTCTGTCCCGGAATTCAAGCGTGGCAGTTAGTCCTTGTATCATGAGACAAGATATGGTCGACCTATGGAGACCACAGCGGATAACATTGCATCTGCGCAAGTGACAGGGAAGGAGAGTGCGCAGGTGACATTGGCACGGCTGACAAAAGCCATCGGATCTGACCGGACTCAATCCACACCGTCTCATGGAAGAAGCTGGGTCTCCGAATGGTTTGCACACAACCTTGTATTTATAGAGCTTCAAGGCGGCCTTTGATGAGGCCTGCCCATTGCAAGACAAATTTGATTATTTGTAAAAAGTCTACAAACGGAACCTATGCTGATCAATTTTCCTAGCACAACTAACCTAATTTGAAACATCACTCGTCCATTTATTTGCACAAGGTGGGTGGAGCCATATCCCATCAAACCACAAGTACAGTACACACAATTCAATTGGATTCTATCACAATAATACCGGAATGTGTTATAAATATGGTATCATATTTGTGCATATGTATATATATATATATGCCGTTATAGGGAAAAAACGCTGTGTTACTGAGGTAGATAACAGTTGACTGGAATGTTAATGTTACGCATACCAGTGAGACTGCTTAGGCCGAACCCATTTCTAACCGAGTAATTAGATAATTTTCCTAACAGTCGACTGCCTGAATACATCCCTCCTCTTCACATATGAGTGAGTGAGTATCTGCCACGCGTGTAAGTGTTGGCGATTTTCACAATTCCATGCTGATCTGATTAGGTGACCACGTTGAGATTAGGGTCAGTAGTCAGGCGAGGTATGTAAACTTCAATGGTGAAATGAACACACGAGAGGAGAATAAGCGTTGGGCCAGTTGAGCGGATGGAAACAGCGGAAAGCAGACGTTTAGAACGGTATTGTGTTGATTGAACTTCAGGGCGGCCTTCGATGAGGCCTGCCCATGGCAAGACAAATTTGATTGCGGACTGGAGGTCTGCAAAACGAACCCACATCGATCACTTTTCAGTAGACAAACAACCTAATTTGAAACATCACTCGTCTGTTTATTTTTATAACGTGGGCAGAGCTGTATAACATCAAATCGCATATGACAAAGAAATTTATAATTAGATTATATCACAAACATACCGCAATTCGCTTAATTCGTTCATTGAAATTGATTAAAATGTAGAAAAAATTCATAATAGTAGTATCTGTGAATAGTAGTAGTATCAGTGACCATTATGAAAAGCCTCAGCGCCCGCATTGAGGGCTTGATAAATCACTCCTAATACAGGTGTCCATTTTCAATGATGCATTATTCTCGATCAAAATTGACCATCTAATGACACTGGGAGAATAATAGACACGAACAAATTCTATTTGTCCGTGATGAACCGTGATCTTTCATGACGCGATCAAAATGTTCGGAAATTAATCCACGCCAGTATTGATCCATTTTATACAGGATCCCTTGAGGTTTGGAAATCAGAGTGGTATTTTCTCATAAAGCACATTGGATC